GTAAAGAGATTGCGATCTCGACAACTTTATGGCCGAGAGTTGACTATAAAGTTGTCTATAAACTCGACATTTTCAATTACAATTACATTTGAAGTAATTGTAATTGAAGCTTTACTAATTACAATTACTTTCAATTACAATAATATTTGAAGTAATTGTAATTGAAGCTTTACTAATTACAATTACCTTTAATTGTAATTGAAGTTTTTCCAATTACAATTATTTGTAATTATAATTGAAGTTTTGACAATTACAATTACTTGCAATGGTAATTGAAATTTTGCCAATTACAATTACTTGTAATTGAAGAATTTCCAATTATAATTACTTGTAATTGTGAATTTTGTTCCTTATAATTACATGTAATTTGTAATTAGTAATACCTTAATTACAATTACAAGTAATTTTAATTGGAAAATTTCAATTACAATTACAAGTAATTGTAATTGGCAAAACTTCAATTACAATTACAAGTAATTGTAATTGGTTATTGGTCAATTAAACATTACAAGTAATTGTAATGAAAAATTTCCATTACAATTACAAGTAATTGTAATTGGTTATTGCTCAATTACACCTTACAAGCAATTGTAATTGACCACGTAATGAACTACTTTGTGTAATCATTACCCCTCATGCCTGATCTAGGGTCCATGAGATCATCTATAGAGTGGACTAGAATTTTGACTATAGAGTCGACAAAACTACGACTATAGATTAAAATAGAGAGCCGACAATAGAAACGACTAGACATTAGACTATAGAGTAAACTGTAGACTATTGATTAGAATTGACTATAGAATCGATTATAACTTGACTATAGAGTCGAACAGAAACCAGACTACGGATTTGAATTAAGAATCTACTACAGAGTCTACTATGTAGAGACTGAAAACTTGACTATAGAGTCATATATAAGCTTTTTCTAATAAATATCAAAAAAATATATATATATTTTTCATTTTTATTTTCAAAAGATCACATTACTACTTTTTATAAATTTCTACATCATAGTTTTTGTTTAATAAAAAAGGATTTATTGTTTTTGTTGCCTGTTGGTTGTTTTTTTATTTATGGCAATATTAATGTTATCGTATAGTTTTTTCACACTATTCCACAACTAACCCAGTTTCCAGTTTTCAAATCTCGCCTCTAAACAAACAAAAAAAATAATAATAATACTAAAGGCACACCAAAATAGCAAATGTATGGAGCATATTTCACAGGGAAAAATAAATAGAGGAAAAAAGAGAAAAAAGTGTTATGCTGTAAATTCAAGTGTAAAAAAATGATGGACAAAATGGGAAAAAATAAAACTTTTTATATTTTCATTTAGACAAAAAATTTAGACAGTCACCACGTCATACCAAAACAGACAGACAAACAGTCAGTCATTCTTACATTCATTTCTTGCTCTATTCATATAATTTTTAGTTTTATGCTAAAAACCCACAATAGTTCAATATGGTTTTTATAGAAGAAGATTTTAGTGGTCTAAAATTTACTCCTCTTGTTTTTTACTTACAACCGTCCATGCTGGTATCTGGTTATTTTCTTTGGTTGTTAGGAAATTAAGAAAAAAATCCAACTTATTTAAAAAAAAAAATTCATTCCATTCAATATTTCCTTAGCTACAGTAAAGTGCTAAGGGGAGGTTGGGAGATTTAGCTAAAGTTACTACTGTCTATGAACAAAATTGATATATTTATAATCTTAAAATATAGTCACTCGTGTATCAAAATCAGTTAGTTTTTCTCTTAACTTGTCTTATTTCGTAGTATTTTTGTGTGGCTAAACGAAAAAGAAGAAACTTTTTGCAAAGTTTGCAAAAATAAAATATATAATATATTTTGTTGTATTAAGTAGTATATTCATATTGATTTTTTATCATTGAATCTATTTATTTACAATTTAAGCAAAAGAGTAAATAAAAATAAAGAAAAGTTTGTTTCTTTCAAGTATAATGAGGGTTTTGTAAGTTTATTATAACATTTGCCACACATTTTCATGATTTGCCTTAACATTAGACAATGGCTAGCAATTTTCTTAATCTGTATGATTGGTATTACGTTTTACTAAGGATATGTTGCAAAAAAAAAAAAAAAAACAGAACTTTTCAAATAAATAAAATTCAAAATAAATTACGGGTTTTTTTTGTTCTCTCTTTATTATATTTAGTGCAAACAATTTGTTAACAAAATAATATGGAAACAAAATTAATAAAGAAATATTTAATATAAAAAAAGGAAAATATCCTTAAATATTTGCATTATGGATTTAAAGGAGCATGATTTAGAAGTATGATTTTATTGGCAACATGTTTATAAGGAAATTGAATTTGTCATGAGATTACTCCCATATTCATAAATAGTATTAAATGTTTATTTATCGTTTACTACACACAGGGACAAAACCGGTATATAAGTCCCGAAATTGATACAATCCGTTGTCAAAAGTGAGCATACAACGTTTGTTAACGATGTGTATAAAATTTAAATAACAACCAGTTATCATTTTCACAACCACCGTTTTTATTTTTTACAACGCATCGTTGTCATTGCAAAAATGCATTGTTGTCATTTCGATGACGCTTTGTGTCATTTCGGTCATTCATCGCTGTGATTTCGACAATGAATCATTGTCACTTTGGCAACACATTATTGATTTGTTATCGTCGTGTATTTTAAAATTTTTGTTGTTGGATTGACAACTATCCGTACATACTTTGACAATGGATGTTATTGAAAAACTATAAACACTTTAGTGTCAATTTGGTGTGTATAATTTTAAAACGTCTTTTATTCCTCTGTATAGGCATTTTTTTACAAAATAAGTGTTTATCGGTTATTTAGAATTTTTAACTTGAAAGTAATTAAATATGTTGAAACAACATGTTTATAAACATATTTAAAAATCTTAGATTTGGTATATATTATCTTATTTTAGAAAAATGTTAATAATTTTGAAAAATCTTAAAAATTATTATCCAAATGTATATAAAATTTGTAAATGTTGCTAAACATGTACTTGTAAAACTAGTCTCATATGCCAGACAATTTCTTTCAACAAGTTGTGAAACATTTTCTAAAAAACGTGAAATATTTATAAATATACTTAATAATAATATGTAATAATCTTTAGAAGTTTCTGTTCATTTGTTGGCATACTTAATAAGGTTTCTAAACCTAATAACTGTAGGTACTTTGATTGCCGAAATGTTGCTAAACATATTATAGAAATTCATTGAATAAAACTTAAGAGATTCTATACAGTTTTGTGTTTTATATATAAATATGATTCCAAACATAACAACTTAACATAAACTGTACTTTTTTGTTAAGCCTCAATGTTTCTAAACATAGTAATGTTCCTTAGCATTATATCCTAAAGAATGACAATACAACCAGTCGAGGAGTTATAAAACAAATATTGAATTATGTGTAAAAACTACTTAAGAAGTATTTATGCAAAATGTTGCTAAACATTTTAAAGAACACTTTTGGAGTTGAACCTGCATACAAATATCCGTTTTACTATGACGGTGTATTTTATAAGTACAAATACATTTCATTGCAATAACAAAGTTTAAATGAACAAATTGTTATTAAAAGAATGTTGTATTTAAAATACAGATTACTAGTAAAGTTTCTAAGCATTTTGAAGACAATTTGTTGCATAATAAGATAAGATATTTTACAATGTGTATTACATTGTGTGTATAAAAACTAAAATATTTCGATGGCAACATGTTTAAACAAAAATTTTATAAATACAAATATTGCTAACATCTCGTTATTATCAAAAACCTATTGTAAATGTTTAGATACATGTTTATATACATGTATATAAAAAACGTAATAAAAATTATCATAATTTGAATGCATTTTTATAAAAGTTTTTTAAAATAGATTTCCAACATACCCAAATAAATAGTGCAAACATGCATAAAGCATACAACAAAAATTTTAAATAATCTCCATTACTTTTGACTTAATTTTTTGCAGCACTTAAACTCGTAAACTTCATACATCAATTTCCTTTTTAGTCAAATTTAAATCAATTCAATGTTCTTGCATTTTTACTATCTACTTGCTAAACAAATCAGTTTTCAATATAATCTATGATGGTTTCTTTATTTATGGCTCCCAATAAGCAGCATCGGCAGCAAAAAAAATGTTGCCAACAAAACGAAGAAACAAAAAAAAAAAACAAATAGAATTTGCAACTGTCAAACAGAAAATAAAGGATAATCTATGAAAAAATATCATTATTGATAATGATACATATGGTTATGTGTCCAAACTGTCTGTCTGTTCTTTTAACAGACTGTCAATTGTATATAAATAAAACACATACTTATAGAAAAAATATATTTAATGATACTTTTATGTTTTTTATGTGCATATGGACATATACAGATCTCTTTTTGATTTAGGGCACAAATAAATGTTGCAAAAAAAACAGTATCAACTTGCAACTAAATGAACATTAATTTTCATATACATATATTATAATTTTTTTCCAAAGAAAAAAAATGTATACAAAGAAGTAAATTCATTTTATGGGATCTAATAAAATATATTCAATATATATATTTTGTAAATGTTGCCAACAACTTTCAATGTCAGTGTGCAGTAGTTGTTGCCATTACGTTCAAGTTGAAAATCTTATGAAATTTTCAGGCAGACATATACATATGCATTTTGTGGCATAAAGGGCAACAGAAAAAAAGGGCAAAATCTCTTAAGGAAATCTTTTGAAAAGTAGCGCAAAGGAAATAGACCACCGTAAATAAAATCAAATAAAAATATACTAAACTACAAAATAGCATTCGTTTGCAGTAGTATTAGTAGAAGTAGGAGTACAAGTGCATTTTCACAAGATCATAAACTAGTGAAACTGTGGATTTCTTAGCTCTGCTTGTGCTGCAGAGGTGGTAATAAAGCGCTAACTTAATGGAACACTGCATAACATTTACAGTTTATATAGTCGTAAAAAAAGAAACGAAACGAAACAAAAATGAAAATGTTGAGAAGTCATAAAAAAATGATTTCTATTTTATTTCCATTTGCTACAATTCGTTGCACATTTGTTTAAATGTATAAAATGTGTTGGTTGTTGCTCTAAACCATCGCCATCCAAATAACACCCTGCTAGTTTGTTGAACTAGCTGCTGCTCAAGTTAATCTTTACCACCAAAAGTCAAGAATGTATAGAGATGAATTTTTGTAATTTTTAGAATTTCAAAATGTGTTGAAGACAGTGGGAAAAAATTATTTTAATATAACTTACTGTTTATTGGTGGCAATAAAATATTAGTTTATGATTTGAGACACTTACCTAGAAAGAAAGAGAGAGGAAAAGTGATAAAATTAGTTATGTTTTTAATAAAAATTATTTAAACGCGAATATATATGTATGTAAATATGTAAATTCTTATAAATATATACATACATACGAACTTGTATTCTACACTAGGAAATACAAGATCGAAAACTTCACGCTACATCGATTAAACGGGGTCGTACTTTCACTTTCGGATAGCGCGAAATATCTAGTTGTGATACTTTATAATAAACTATCATGGAAACACAACATCACAGCCAGTGTGAATAAGACCTTAATGGCAATGTACTTCTGCAGGAAAGCCATATGCAAAAGATGGGGACTTAACCCTAAATTAGTAAACTGGATTCATTAAGCGGTTATTAAACCTACTCTCTTTTACGGGGTGGTTGTCTGGTGAAAAGCACTTGACAAAAACTCCAACTGTATACTCCTTGATAAAGTTCTAAGGAGGACAGCAATCCTTATAACAGGAGCACTGAGAACAACATCGACCAAATCTCTATTCGCAATGCTAAATTGGATCTCAACCGATCAGTTAGCCAGAAAACTGGCACTGCCTTCAGACTCAATGCAATAGATGCATGGACACTATACGGTCATGCAAGTATTATTAATGAGACAACTTGTCTCCCAGTTAATATTGATTGCTGCATTCTCAAACCTTTCTTACAAAGAAATGTCGGCTACATTATCTCCGAAAACTCTGCTCCCAAGAATCCTTTCGGTGTATACGGACGATTCTATGAAAGGGGAATGAGTGGGAGGTGGCATTTTTATCCCTGAATTTGGGATTAAAATAAATTTTAGGATTCAGAATGATTGTAGTCCAATACAGGCTGAACTAGCAACCATAAAAAGAGCTGCAAATTGGCTTTGGTACTAGACGAGACATTCAACAATCGTGCTCAAATGGGTACGGAGACACGGGGATTTGATTGGCAACTATATAGCTGATGAATTAGCGAAAATAGGAGCCTCAAGGTCCAACAGGGACATAGACATCTATTGCAGCATACCACTAAAAGCTTGTAAAAGACACATAAATTGTTCTATGAACTTTCGCAGACAAAATGGCGTAATGAACCAACTTGTATCTGCACCAGAAAGATATGGCCAAGTTTGGATAGCAAACGTACGTCATATCTTCTACAACTAAGCCGTCCTCATCTCAGCTATCTTGTTGCTATTATCACAGTTTATTTAGAAACCATGCAAGAAGACTTGGTATACCACATTACGACTTCTGTAGAAGCTGTCAAGACTTCAAAGAGGAGGAAGAAAGCATTATACATCTCCTCTGTTATTGCCAAGCGCTGAAAGACTTTCGATTCGAATTTCTAGGAAAGCGACTATTTGACAATATGTCAGCACTATCCAGACTAAGACTGGAGAACATTAACACCTTAATCAGGCACAACAATTGGTTTTAAGACCCCAAGCCTAACTGTATCGAGACACTTACTAGTCCGCAAGGACAAAACTTTCTCTCACTTTCTCTACTTCTATCTTTAACTACTCTTAGAACTATACTCTAAACTTAATCTACACTTCTTTTATGACCTAACCCCACTTTCTCTCTTTTTGTTTTCATTATCTTTACAGGTATCACAAAGGGACCAACAGGACCCAAGTGTCCATCTTTTGCAGCCTGAATACCATACCATACATATATATTAATAACATATATTAACGAACATGTTTAGCAACATTTAAATTATCTAGATATTTTTGGTTGATTTTATTGATAATTTAAGAAAAGATTTCTTAAACATAAAATGTTTATAAACATGTTTCAAAGAATAGCTAAAACCATTTTTATATAATTTTTTATATATAAACAATTTTAATATATTTGTTTATAAACAATTTATATAGACATAAAATAGGTTGAATTATAATGTAGAATTTTCTTTAATATGTAAGTTTATTTTAATACAAAAAAAATATGTTTAGATACACTTGATTGATAAACTGTGCTTATAAACATGTTGCTAACAGAATTTGGCACAAACTATAGAAACATTACAGTAATTAAACGATTTAAATTTTATACTCTTGTTTATGGCAAATTAAGTTGTTCGACATAAAATATTTATAGACTTGTTCCAAACAATATATAAAAACTTTTCTAAATAAATTACACTAATTTTGTTAAAAATGTTTATAAACATTTTATATAGACAAAAATTTGTTTTAATTATTATGTAGAATTTTCTTTAATATATAAGTTTCTTTCAACACAATATAAACATGTTTAGATACACTTGATGGCTTAAACGTGATTCTAAACATATTGCTAACAGTATTTACCACAGAATAAAGTAAAACTTAAAAAAAAATAACAGTTATTAAATGATTTATATTTTCTATTCTACTGTTGTTTATGACAATTTAAAATCTATACATATATAAAATGTTGTTTAGACAAACAGCCAGCAGGCAGGCTCAATTCTATAATATTTCTTCCTGCAAAATCTATAGAAAATAAAAATATATGCCATACAACTACCCTACATATCAAGAAACATACATATACACATATTGTTATAAATGTGTAGTTAATATATAAATTTATTGTAAACTGTTGAAGCAATTGTTTGCTCTTCATTCCTGCATCAACGCATCTAGCATGTGAATTGCGTAAACAGTTGAGGGTCTGGCAAGAAATTGAATATACATATATATATATAGAAAAATAATCTCACATGATTTCCGCTTTAAAGTTCGTTTATATGCCAGTAGTATAAAAGTATTTGAACGTTTAGTTTTTTTTTTTTTTTCTACATTTACTTAGAAACCTTTATTTTGTTGTGTTTTTTTTGCCATTTTTATTAAGTCTACTCCACAACATTTTATTTTCATCTCTGACTTTAGAATTTTTTATTGTGATTTTAGTTGAGTTTTTATTTTTCTTTAACAAGTTGCTAAAAATATATTTCTTTTTTAATACTGTTGAATTTAGTAAAGGTTGCAGGTTGCCATTGACTGTTTTCCTATAGTGTTTTTTTTTCCAACAAAAATGCATTTAGTTTCATTTTGTAGAACAGCTTTTGAAATATCCTGGCAAGGATATGAAAATGGCAATAGTGTGAAGGGTTAAGATATTGAAAGTATAGAATTATTATTTAACTCTAACGTTTACCGCTTATAGAGTATTGGCAGTGTTTCTTGTTTTTGTTACTTTCTTCATTATTTCAAATTTTGTTGAATGTTGCTGGGCTATACTTCCCTTTAAATCAAACTAAAAATATGTATTTCTTTATTCTTTAGTTTATTTTCATTTTTTTTAATGTTATCAGGAGTTATTGTAAGCAGCTTTTACCTTTAGCATTTCATTTCGTACAATTGTGTTGCACCCCGGTAGTTTTTGCTTGAAGTCGGTAGTAAAATGTATAATAGTTGATATTTGTTGTATAAGACAAACTTATTGCTTCTATTTTATGAAAACTAGTCACGTTTAAGTGGTCATCATCAAAGTAGTTAGAAGAAAAATTGTAGAACGTACATACATTCATATGTATAGGTATGTAGAGAAGTAGGTATTTTTATATATAGTAAGCAATTTAGGGTAGTCCATACAGGTAAGGGATTTCGTAAAATTTATTTGCGTACCAAACCTTCACAGAATTTAAAGGATTAAGGAATTAAGAAACAATATTTAAATATCCGCGTAACCTGGAGGTTGAAAATATGTTCATATATCAATCGGGGATCGAGGGTTAGCATATAAATCGGTATTAGTACTCTTTTCATGTCTATGCATTTGGCTAACCCTGCAAAAAGGCATCTTTATAAAAATGCGACCATCTACAAAAAGTCCATACAACTAAAATATTTATATGTTACATTTCATTTCACTTCATCTTTTCCCTGAAGCTGATCAACAACTTTCCTCTTCCATGATTTCTTTATACAAATAGTCCAAAGAAATAAGAGAACAAAATAAAAATATATATTCCTTTTTACACTCACTACACTCGTATCTTTTTGAAATATGTTCTGTAAGCATTGATTAAAAAGGATACTTTATATTATACAAAAAAAAAAAAAAACGAAGCAATGGCCAAATGGAAAAAACAAAAGTAATACAAATATCACATGTAATGTTCGAAATTGAATTCTGAGAAAAAAAAATAAAGAAAATCATAGAAAGAAATAAGTTAGTCTTTCGACCGTACAGGAGTTCTGTTTTTTTCATTCATGTATGATTTCTTTTTTTTTTTTTTTGTTTTTGAAAGAAAGTCGAGTACTTGTTGAGGTGCAACGAGTCGAGTATTTACACCCAGTGGAATTTAAAGGGGCAAACGAACATTAATTGCTGGAAATATTTTTTTAATTTATTTTTTTTTTACATACATAGTTTGTTGGTTTTACCATCATATTTTTCTTATATCAGTTTTCAATGAAAACTGTTAAAGGCAGCATGTTAAAGCAAAAATGGCGGTATGTATATAGAACAGATGTAAAAAAAAAGAACTAGTAGATTCTTCAGGAATTTAATATAAATGGTAAGTTTTTGTAACATTTACTGTAGATAAGTTATGTTTGCAATATTTTGCATTGAAAGTGGAGTTTTGTAAAATTTACTATAGTTATTGAAATTTGATATACTTGCAAAGAAAATTTACTATAAAAAGTAAAGTTTGCACCAAATTTACCACAAACTTTGCCCAAATTTAGAAAGTAAATTTTACAAAAAATTTACTATGGAAACAAAATCTTGCACAAAATTTACTAAACAAAGTAAATTTTTCACAAAAGTAAATTTTGCTCAAAATTTACTTAAGAAAGGAAATTTTGCACCAATTTTATTATAGTAAGCATGATTTATTAATATTAATATTAAAAGCTAAATTTACTATAAAAAATTAAAAAGTATGCAAAAAAAATATGTTTTTGAAATCTCCGTACTAACTGTATATTGTTTAAAATTTTCATAAAAATCGGATCAGAACTTTGAAAATATTGAAATTGTTAAATGAGTTTTATTA